AGAGAGAGAGAGAGAGAGAGAGAGAGAGAGAGAGAGAGAGAGAGAGAGAGAGAGAGAGAATAGAAATTTAAAAGTCAGTTTTTCTCTTAAAAAAATATCACCGACCAATCCATGTTCCTGACAAAAACTTATGGCTGCGGATCCCTCATGATTCTTGTGAAGATAATAACAAGGATCCGGAGCATTTAACTGCGACAATTCTTCTGTGATGCTCTTTGCATTGTGTTTCCAGACTTGAAACTGAGGCGATACGATGTTGTCGTTTCTACGTAGATTCAACTGGATCAATTGCCCAAAGACCTTGAAAGTTAAGGGAATCTGCAAATTGAATAATAATTAAATCAAATGTAAATAATTTTTGTAAGTCTTACACTTTTAAAGAATAAATTTAACTTTAACGTACCTCTGATGCGCCTTTCGAGTTCCATACTGGCAGCAATATTACCTCAGTATCTTTCGGTATATTACGCGCATACACTTGATTTAATAAAATTATTAACATTAATCTAAATATAAAGAACATGCTCTTCATCGTGTGTTTCAAGTTCAAGTACTTGGAAGAACATAATTATATATCTCTTTATATTTTTAAATATATATATTATACATACACGATATAAAACCCGTATATTCGTTATCATTTCGGAAGTTTATGTACAAAATGCATACTGGTACCTGCATTTAAAAATATGCATTGTGTCATTGACACTTGCGTATGTATAAGCTACTTATGTTTTCAGTTTTTGAGCAGAAAAATTAACTTGACCTATGGTACCAGCAGTGGCGATGTAATTCGGAAAAACTATTTATATAGCTAATATATATGTAAATAGCACGTGATGATAACAATAAAGTCGCACGCTTGATTTTAATTCACAATAATTTGATTTCTTGAATTCCAAAATCAAAATTACTATAAAAATTTGTAATTTATTGTACACTAATAAACTTTGCCTCGGTATAAAGGAGGTAACAAGTATGACAATAACCACAAAGCGTTTTATTTATATCGAAAATATCGCCAGAAAACTGCTGTATAGATGCGGGAAGAGGTAGAAATAATAAAGAAAAATTTTACTTGTTACAAATAGTAATAGTATTAAAATATCTCAATAAAAACAATAAATAATAATTGCGATCAATAATAAAATTAATTTATAGAAGATTCGGCAGTGTATCTAGCATGCTTGGCAATGCTCGTTACAACTATAAATATATAATGATGTTTAGAGGATATA